TTTTTTTTTTTTTTTTATGTACCTTTCGAAAAGTTGCATGCATGTTGACTATTTAAGAATTCTGTCATGAATTCGCTGTGTGGCAGGCAGGATGAGGATGCATATGCAGGACTCAAGACGAAGGAGTAAACTCAAAACAGCAGCCTGAACTGAGAGCTGGGAAACACAGCACAGTGAGAGTACGACACGACAACGGCTAGAGAAAAACACAGGGCTTAAATACACAAGCAGAGCTGAGACAAATCAGACCCAACAAGGCACAGGGACGCAAGACTACAATGCACACAGGACCAGGACTATCAAAATAAAACAGGAAACAGCCGAAACTCAGACTCAACACAGTGAGTGGGGAGAAACGTGGGACACAGGAGAAGCACAGAGTAGACACAGGCTGGGAAAAACAGTGATGGGAGGGAGAACAAAGGTCACTGAGAACTAAAGAAAACCAAAACCACGAACAACAATAATCAAAGAACATAATTATAAAGTCAAACACAAATACTGGGTCACAGTACTGTGACAAATTCAGAGTTTTTTATTCTGCTTTCTGCTTAAATCCTGTTCAGGCCCTTCACACGTGTTCATATGTGATATATAAATGGGACAAAGATTTATGGAAACTGAAATTTCAGCAGCACATCAGCTTGTGCCAGGTCTGAGAGACAGTGACTGCATAATACCAGTGATTACCAGATCATGAAAAATATTGATCGATTGATGAAAAATAGTTTTTTAGTAAAAATCCTAGAGCAGATCAAAATTACATTTGAACATATTTTAAAATGAAAGCTGACAGAACATCAGAAGTGATGGTGCTTCCCAAATATCAGAGTAGGAAGAACGTTATCACTGGATAAATGATCTATGTGGACCACATAGACATGAATCTTCCCCTCACAGAGTGCATTAACAGCTCTCATAGGTACGAAAAACCCAGATGTGCTTCAGGGTGTGAAAAATAAGTGGTGATAAAACTAAAGAACAATGGGCTGTGGAAATCAGAACTGCAGGGATATTTTGGCATGTGTTGCTGTGCAAATGAAGGTGATACAAGAGAATGTCGCCCTTGTGACGAGAGAACAGGTGCAGGAGGGGGAAGAACGATGCACTTTTGTACACAGCTGTACAAATCTCTGAGGATCCATTCATTTCTCTTTCATTTTCAAAGACCAATTTGCTGACCAATTTTTAAATATATACTTTGTGTACACTTACCAC